AGATAAAATTTTAAAATTTTTGTGTGCGTATTTGCTTTTTCATTTTGTAGTTTTTGTTTTCGCTTTGTAGTTTTTGTGTTTTTTGCCTTTTTGTTTGCGTAAAATTTGTGCTGTTGCTGCTAATTATTTTTATTGCTTCTAAATAAAATAATTAAAATAAAAAGGCTAAAAGAAAAACTAAAAAACATTTCTATAAAAATAAAACAAAATAGTTATCAAAAAAAAGTTAAAATTAACAATTTATTATATTATAAAAGATTTCTCGCATATTCTAGTCATTTTTTTCATTATAGGGTTAAGTGTAGATTAGAAATAATTTGCTTTAAAAAAAACTAATAATGTAAACTATTGATAACACTCATTTTTCTACTTTTAGATAAAGCACGTGCTGATATATATGCTATTAGGTTTTTCACTTAAATTGAGTGCTAATTTTATCAAAAAAATATGCCCTCTTTTTTACAACAACAAATTATTGACAAATATTAAAAACAATTTACTAATACTTTAAAACCCTTTGCTTAAAATGTGTTGTAACTATGAAGATCTTATTTGTTATAGGAGCCTAAAATCTATTGATATTTTGATTCAAATAAAATTTGATAAAATTTAACTTTAAACCGCGCTAAAAGGAATTTAAAATAATTTAACAAAAAATTGAATTTAAATTCGGTATTTAAAAAAAAGATTATATTTTCTTATAATTTATTTCTTAAAACAATCTTATACTTCACATAATCTTTTGTTTCTTTATCACAATTTATTTATTTACTTTAATTTTTATATATATTTAATTTAGTATTTTTAATAAAGATTATAAATAATTTATAGATAGATTTTATCAGTTACCAATAAATATATATATATATATCAAAGGTTGAGTTAACGCATCGCGATTTGCGATATCTGTTAAATTATTTGGTCTTCAAAGTTTCAGTTTATGGAAAACCACGAAATTTATGGAATAGGCGAATAAACTTTAATTCGTTAGTGAAAATGTTATGAAAAACAAAACAATAAATTTATGACTACAAAAGTAATAATACTACAGTGTTGTTACTTTTATAACACTCTTTTATGTTACATTTATAGTTTATTGTTTGATCAAACAACACATAATCAAGATATTTTAAATAAAAATGATTTAGTTAAGTAATTCCAAACATTAATTAAAGTAGTGAAACACTGGTAATTTACTTCTTAGGAGAAATCTATGTTAAAAAGGGAGGGGGGGGGAAGGCTAAAAACTTAAATTTTGTTTTATTATTTAATCAATTAAATCATAAAACTTTAAAGACCAGATAATTTAACAGATATCGCATATCGCGATGCGTTAATTCAACCCTTGTATATATATATATATATATATATATATATATATATATATATATATATATATATATATATATATATATATATATATATATATATATATATATATATATATATATATATATATATATATATATATATATATATATATATATATATATATATATATGTATATATATATATATATATATATGTATATATATATATATCAGGCCTTGTTAAGAATATATATATATATATATATATATATATATATATATATATATATATATATGTATATATATATATATATATATATATATATATATATATATATATATATATATATATATGTATATATATATATATATATATCAGGCCTTGTTAAGAATCGTTACGCAACTCGCATTTTACCTGCGAAATAGCGATTTGCTTACGCGTTCAGCAGTTTTGCATTACGCAAAAACTTTATTCTTTTAGAATATTTAAATTATGTTTTGATATCATTTATGTGATGTTTGTTCAGGAAAAAATAAAGTTGTAAATGAAAGCATTTAACCGCAATTGTAAACTAATAAATTTTTTGTTAAAGAAAAGTTTGTTTAATAATTTTTATTGTTGTTGTTGTTAAAAATTAGTTTAAGAAAATAAAGTGTTTTAAGTTTAAACTTTTTATCATATTTAATATTAAGTTTTATATTTTATAAGTTTAAAAACATTCATTCACATGTAATGTTCATTTTCCCGATTTCGCAAGTTGTATGGAAAGGGGAAGTATTCACGATTTTACGTACGCGTTTCCATATTTATGTTATGCAATAGCCTTTTTCAATAAGTTCATTTAAACAGTCTTTTAGAACAGTTTATGCAGAAAAAATTAAGCTGTAATTAATTGTTGTAAAAAAATGTTTGTGAAATATTTTTTTTATTAGATAAAAAAACAGATAGATAAACTTTTGTCTATTTTTCGTTTTTTTTTAGAAATATATTTTTAATTCATTTTACTAAATTTAAATACTTTTTTATTAATCATAGTTTTAGTAAATAAATTTATTAAATTTAATTAAAATTTTTTAAATAATTTTAAAGCGCTTCATTTTACAATTTTTTTTATGATATGATTTCCAAAGTAAAAAAAAAAAGATTTAATAAACTTAATTCAAGTTACTTTAAAATGTTTGTATTCAGTAGGTGTCACGTGGGGGTGCCATTACAACTTTTGCAGACTAAATAAAAAAAAGTCCTCGTTTTCCAAAACTTGCCGACTACCATGACGACATTTGCCAACTGTCTAACCTATATCGAAAGGGTCAACATTTGCCGACTAACTAGTCTAAAAGGGTCCAATTTGCCGACTAAAGGTCCAGTTTGCAGACTAAAAATCATTGATGGGGGGGGGGGATACACCCCTTCCCCCAGGTCACACCCCCCACACACTCCTATCGCGCCGGCCTTGTTTGTATTACATATGACTTTATTTTAATTTCAGTTAAGTTTCAGGTAAGTTCCAATATCAAATACTGGTCTGAATAATGCGTTTAACAAAAGCGCATTATTCAGTTTCATTCATTATTCACTAAAGCGTATTATTCATTTTATAACTACAAGTTAATGAATGACATCAATACAAAAACATTCGAGTTATAAATGTTATGTTTGGGTTTTTTCCTTAGCCGTTAAATTTTATGTAGAAGAATTTTTTTTCTGAAACGAACCAAAATTCAAACCGATTAAAAATAACGTCTTTAGAAAATTAAAAATAACGCCTTTAGAACTCTTTAAAAGCCCAACTTATATTTATTTTATTTTAAAAACAAAACTAATACTAGTGTTATAAACATAAGATACGTAAATTTTAAAATTATAATGATATTTGTTAAAAACAAATTTTGCAAATAAGTTCTTAAAACCGAAAATACTATTTTTCTTTTTTGATTGATTTTTTTGTAAAGGGGAAAACCCAATATACGCTTTTAGTTGTAAGTACATTTAAATCCCTTTAAGAAAACCAACCATAAATAAGTGTCCCCTTAATTAAAAAAACAACAACTTATGAAACAAATGTTTTAAAACAAAAAAATTAAGTTTAAATAAGTATAAGATTTTAGTAAGGAAACTTTTTTTAAATCAATATTTAAACATTATTATTTTTTTTTTAATAATAATATATTTTAATTTAAAGCTATTCCATTTCAAAGACTTACAATAATTTTTAATGTCGTTTTAAATTTAATTTTTAAATTTAATTACAATGAGATATTTAAAAAAACGCAACTGACGTAATTAAACTTTTAACAATGTAAATATCTTTATTGAGTAAAGTTACATTTATTCACGATGCTCTTTTCCGTTACGCAGCGAAATCTCGTAACAAGGCCTGATATATATATGTATATATATATATATATATATATATATGTGTGTGTGTGTGTGTGTGTGTGTGTGTGTGTATATCTATATCTATATATATATATATATATATATATATATATATATATATATATATATATATATATAAAATCTATGATGGAGAGATTATATTTTATGTAATGAATTAATTAGTAGGCGATAAGAAAAAAAATTTAATAAAAGTTGCAAAACTATTTTACATTCAATAGGAACTAAATTTTACTTTCATCGTTTTTCTATTTTACATTCCTTCAAAACTAAATTTAAATTTTTTAAATAATATTTATCCTAAATGCTATTGAAATAAAAAATTTTTATAAAATAGTTTGTTTCTTTAAAAAATTCTTTTAAAAGTGCTAGTTAAGTGTTTTTTTTTACGACTTAATTCTGAATAATATCACATAAACGACATTAAACAATAATTTAAATAGTTAAAAAAAAGTTTTTGCCTAACCAAACGCTTTCGGTGTTTATATTTTACAAAAGAGTTTTCGCTAAACTGAACGCTTTCGATATTTACAAAAAAAGCAAGCTGCATGATGCTTCTTAACAAAATATATCAAGGTATTTTTTTTTTGTGGCAAATTTAGTTCTAATACTTTATCTCTAAAATCTTAAATAAAATTTGTAAAAAAACAAAAATAAAATAGTATTTTTATTTAAACGATAAAACTTTTTAGTTTTAATTTAGGAAGTATTTTATTAAATACATTTAAATGCTTGTTCAATTTTCTTATGTTCTAATTAATAATAGAAAACAAAACTTTGACACTTTAAAAATATAGTTTTTTTTTATTTTAGATAGTTACCTTTCTTTTTATTTTAGATAGTTACCTTTCTTTTTATTTTAGATAGTTGCCTTTCTTTTTATTTTAGATAGTTACCTTTCTTTTTATTTTAGATAGTTGCCTTTCTTTTTATTTTAGATAGTTACCTTTCTTTTTATTTTAGATAGTTACCTTTCTTTTTATAGATTTCTTGAATTAAAAACAAAAAAAACTGAAACTGCTAATAAAAATCAATAGTCACCTTTTTTTTTTTTAATTGCATTAAAGGAATATTTTTATTTGTCCTTTAAAGTTCCTTTGTCTGATACTGTCGGGCGACCACAAGTGTACACCTGATTTATCTATATATATCTAAATTATATTAGAGTATTCTAAAAATAGAGTGCTCAATGTTCTTAAAGAACAAAGCATATCTAGTTTATATATATATATATATATATATATATATATATATATATATATATATATATATATATATTTTTTTTTTTTAAGCTTGGTCTTGAACCATATAACGGAGTTGGAATACTTGGTTTTAATTCACCAGAGTGGTTATTTGCTGATGTTGGAGCCATATTTGCTGGGTTACAATTTTTTTTTTAAACAATATTTACTTTTTTTTCACATTCAAGTTTTTTTATTTCTTTTTTAAGAATAAATGCAATCATAAAAATAAAACAAAGTTTTGATGTTAGAAAATTGTTACATTAGAACAAATATTTTGGTATGTTTTGTAAATTTGTTTTTAAAGTGATTTCTTTAATGAATAAAATGAAAAATTGAATGTGGGCGTATGGTGAGTGTCAAATTGTTGCAATGGTATTGTTTATAAAGGTAAAATTTAAAACGATTGGATGAAAACTTGAATGGAAAAGATTTATAAAGAAGGCAGAAATGCACTAAAATGTAGTTCATGCCAAATAATAAAGTTGTTTAACCAGAGGTAGATTTTGTCAAAGTGCTATGAGAGTTGCTGTGGCGGGCTTTGAGTTATTTATGTTGAAGAATGGCTGCTAACAGCTATAATGACAGGGTGGCCAGCCAACTGGAAGTCAGGGAAAAGTCAGGGATTTTTTTCCCCCAAAATTCAGGGTGGAAAATCTCTTTTTCAAATTTTTTTTTTTAATGTTTTTTTTTTCACTAACTCCCAAACAACAATAAAATAAAAGAAAAAGTTATATTCATTTTGCCATACATTCATAAAATTGTATCTAAAAATAAAATATCATTGCCATTATATTATTTCCTAAAGTTTGTTACATTAAAATATATAAATCTATATAAGCCTATGATTCTATTTAACTATGTTAATACAATGTTAATTTTTTCTAGGTATTAAATAAATAGAAGTTAAAGAAATAATAAAAATGTCTAAAATAACTTACTTTGATAATGACTGTATCTATCTTAAATGACTTCCATCATGGGGTTGGTTTAAGATAGTTTATGATAAAACAAAGGGTATGTGTAGTGTATGCGGAAAGATATTTTCCCTAACTAATATGGGTATAATGGCAGTCAAAAGTCATAAAAAAAGTGCAAAGCATTTAAAAAATATATCTTTATAAAGCCAACCAACATTATTTGATTATTTCACTAACATGTCACAAAAAAATACAGTATCAGAAGCAACTGTTTTATCAGTATCAACTTTAATAGCTTCTAAATCATTGCCATTAGGTTTCTGTGTAGTCGAATCTTTTTAACCAATGCCAATCATTTCAACAAGTTCTTCCAGCACAATAATATCACCTTTCTCTTTATTTATGGCTCAAAATGATGTAACACAATCTGAAATACTTTGGGCACTATGCGTTACACAGCAGCATTTCTCTTTTAGATCATGTTCAAAAATAGAACAACTGTTTCAGTTTATGTTTCCTGACAGTTTTATAGCTAAAATAATGACTATTGGTAAAACTAAAGCAGCCAATAACATCACACATGGTCCCATATTTCCATGATGATTCCTTGTTCTAAAGGCAATGTTTAGCTCTACACACATAGTTGTATGTTTTGATGAGTCTTTAAATGAAGTTGTTCAAAAAGGTCAAATGGATATTTGCATTCGTTATTGGGATGCTATTCGCAACCATGTGACTACAAGATATTTTTCATCAGTGTTTCTTGGTCATGCATCTGCAAATGATTTGTGCAAAGGTTTTACAAGCATTTTAAATGAAAATTTTCAAGTCAAAATTTTACAAATTTCTATGGATGGACCAAATGTGAAATGGAAGTTTTTTAATATTCTCAATGATGAATTTGGTAAAAAGTTTGAAACATCTAATCTTGAAATAAGATCATGTGGCCTACATTTCAAGCAGATGATTCAAGAGCATGTGGCCTGCATTTCAAGCAGATCATAAAAAGGTGAAATTGAATGGTAATGCAGTACTCAAAAGTTTTTATAAACTTTTTTATGATTGTCCTGTTCGTAGGGCAGATTATTAAACAATTTGTGGAAGTGATAAGTTTCCTCTGAAATTTTGTTCAACAAGATGGGTTGAAAATGTATTTGTATGTCAAAGAGCTTTAGATATTTATGATAATGTGAAGTTCTATGTCATGCAGTCTAAGCTACCTATTATTTATACTGCAAACATTGTTACTGATACTGTTAATGATCTTCTGATGCCTGCTAAAATTACTTTTTTTCAATATTTGGTTTCATATAAAGACTTAAGACTTTTTCAGTCAGATTCTTCATTAGCACCATTCTTATATCAAGAACTTGAAAAGCTAATGAGATCTCACATGCAAAACTTTATTAAAAAAGATGTATTTGAGGGAGTAAAATCTGATATAAAGCTAATGAAAATAGACTTACTGTGCACAAGTGTCACCAAAAAGAAGTAAAAGTTGGTATCGCAACTTCTCTACTTGGTAAAGTAAAATAAGTGAATGTCAGAAGTTACAGTTTCAAAGTGGTTATATTCAGTTTTACATTGGAGTCGTTGATAAATTGAGAGAAAGAAGTTCTTTAAAATATAAACTTACAAGAGCTATTTCAGCTTTAAACATTATTATTATATGTTCTAATTTTGACCCTAATTTTGAAAATGGGTTAATGCTTCAATATCTGATAAGGTCAATAATTAGTATCAAGACTTATGTGATCTTGGGATAGATTAGTCATGCATAGATTAGAATTCACAAATTAAGCTGTTTATAAGGATAGGTCAACTTGTTTATTCGCGCAGTGGCCTTATTTGTCAAGGTTCGTGTTTCGGAGTTATAGAGTTGAGAGAGGGTTATAACCACAAGTAGCCTCCTCATCTGTAGTGGCCTTCTTGGCCTTGGGGAGGTGAATTACAAAAAAAAAAAAAAGGATTGGTTGTTCTTTAACCCTTTTTATAAACCAGAATTTTAATAACTTGTTTGAAGTATCCAAAATTGTCTTTACTTTGTCACATGGTAATGCACAGGTTGAAAGTGGGTTTTCTATCAATTCAGGTGTTCTTATTGAACATTTGCATGAAAGCTCTGTAGTTGCCCAAAGACATGTTTATGATGGAATTCACCACATTGGAGAAGTAACAAAATCAATGATCAAAAGAGTAAACTTTTTTTTTTTTTGTTGATTCACCTCCTCAAGGCCAAGAAGGCCACTACTGACAAAGAGGCTACTTAATTGTGGTTATAACTCTCTCTCAACTCTATAACTCTGAAACACAAACCTTGACAAATAAGGCCGCTGCGCGGAGAAACAAGTTAAGCGCTGTACTACCAGAAACGTGGTGGGGATCAAACTTTTTTTTATCAAATCATTTAAAATGTTTATTTTTTAACTCTTAATAACTGAGATATATATTTGTAAAGTAAGATTATATCTTTGCTCTTTTGTCAATTTTCAAAAAAATTTGGAAGTTTAATCTGCTCCGGTGTTTTAATTTCCATTTTAAAATACTAGTAAAAACGTTACTTCACTTCATAGTAATAATATTGAAAAGTCTGAAGCTTAAATTGTGATCCTGTAACTTATAAAGTATAAAAATTTAAAAAAAATATATGTATAATATATAATAAATAACTTTTATTTTATTTTTTTCTTCATAATATCTTTGGTATTCAACTGGGAAGCATTTGCAAGCAAAAGTTAAAAAACTTAAAAACTCACACTTTAAAATAAAACTGAGTCAGGGAAAAGTATAATGAGTCAGGGAAAGTCAGGGAATTTAATTGTATAAAGTGGCTGGCCACCCTGTAATGGC